GTATGAGACAGTGACATATCAGGGATGGATTAGATCAAAAAGTTAAGTCCTACCCCTTCATACATATGGAATGAATTAACTAAAATAGTTAACTCCTACATGGATGCATGTCCTGTCAACTAAAACAGTTGAACGACATAATAGATGGTTACTTTATTATTATTATTATTATTTTTTTTGTATTAGGAAAGATTTAAATATATACATATGGTGTCGTGATACGAGCTTAAGTCTCCTGATCACGGTTAGGATGCGTATATCACCTAGGATTGATAAACAGGCCTGATGATGTTTCCCTGGTTGTTCTACTCGGGTTGAGACAGATTATGTGGGCTGGTGAACGTCCTATAGTGTGTACTTATATCTATATGGACTACTTTAGCTATTGTTGAGCTATGTAGGATGTATCTGCGTATCGGGTTTATGTATGGATTGTAGTAGTATGGAACTTGCATGTGGGCTTGACCCACCCTTATTTTTCAGGTGTTTGACAGTACCAGGTTTAGACTTTGTTCGTGGGGATGCAGATATAGTCACTCACTCTTCCGACTAAATAAGATTTTCTTTCTGATTTTAGTTTTGGATTTTAATTCTGTAAAGTTTTATCATTTGGGATTATTAGGGGTCCACTAGTTGGATTCCCGAGTTGTACGGAATGAAAGATTTAAATTTTATTAAACTCTTTTTTGGAGGTTTTTCGTATTTAGATTTCTACTCAGCTTATTATTTATTTTCTTTTATTTCGTTTTGTATTCCTGCTTGTTTACATATTGACAGTTGGTATCCCTTAGATTTGTGCTCGGACTTGATCACCTGTGGCTCTAGAATCGAGGGGTATCACAGGTTTTATGTGTGGGACTGTGCACTTGTAGCTGGCCTAGTGTGGTAATCTGTCAGTGCCTTTTGCACCCGTCCATGACACACTTACCTACAAGGTTATCACATTTTAGGTCAACTCTAACTTTTTTAGGAGTAGGATCTGCAACTTTAAATAAACACCCCCACACTTTTAAGAATTTATAGAAAGGTTTCAACCTTTCCATAATTCATATGGTATTACATTTCTAAGGTTTCATATTTGCTTCATAGCAAATATACATAACAGTATCTTGTGCAACCATTGATAAAAGTAACGAAGTACCTTTTTCCACCTCTAGTTGGCACATGTTTAAGGTAATGTCATATACTTCATAATATCATATTACAAACTTAAAATAATTCAACCAATATTGAATAATTCAATAATCTACTTATATAACATGCTTCAATTTCACATAATATTGAACGCATTAATATTTAACATATTATCATATAATAATGTATATAACATTATTTTTTTATATCTCAATTATTAGATAATATCTACTTGTTTATATCTTAAATAGAAACATATAATAAAATCTACGCAAGGAATGAATCTGTCTTAAGATTGTTGGAAAGTATATATGCTTCATATGACATTTAAGATATAACAAACCTTATACTAATATGTCATGATATAATTAACAATATGCTAAGAAATCATTAATTAAATATGCAACTCTATATTTAATTAAATATGTAACATAAAGCAATAAAATAATAATAATAAATAAATAACTTAGATCGAGGCTAGTATTGGATACTATGTTTTTAAGACAGATTCGCTCCGTTATGGTGTTTAAGGACTCAGTGGCGTCTATCTCCCAGGATACACCGGTCTACATCCACCAATAGCAACACTACAAACTCGTGGATACGGCGAACCTCCACTGTGTAATACTCTCTCTGACTCAAAATAGTTTGGACCAATCTTAATATGGCTCGATGAAATTGGATTAGAGTTTAAGTGGTTCGGACCACTTAACCTATGGTTTGAACCCACTTGGGTTGGGTTCAAGTCTAGAAAGGGAGATAGAAGAAAATGAAAAATTGAATAACCTGCAAATGATCCAAAGGGGGGTATTTATAGAAACAAGAATGCCTTTTCGGATTGGGTGCATCTCTTCATTACTGGACACAACCATTGAAATAGGTTACATTGGTTCACATGATGTCTGTTCACCAATAGACACATCCATTCCAATAGGTTGCAATGGTTCACATGGTGTCTGTTCACCACTAGACACATCTATTCTAATAGGTTGCAATGGTTCATATGGTGTCTGTTCACCAATAGACACATCCATTCCAATAAGTTGTAATGGTTCACATTGTGTCTGTTGGTTTTGAGTTGCAACCCTTTAGAAACAGATGCAACTATTTGAAAAACAGATACAACCCTTTAGAAATAAATGCAACTCTTTGGAAAAAAAAAAACTAACTTTTAATTTAAATTCAAAAACCAACCACCCATTTAAATAAGCCCAGCCCAAAATTAAAGGCCCAATCCAAGATTCTATTTAGTAAAAAGAATAATTTGACTCTACAATTAGACCCAAGCCCAAGCATAAGTTTGGTTTATTTAAATTTCAATTGGTTTCAACATTTTTTCCATGTGGGACAAACACTTCTTACATTTTGCATACCTAAAACATCACACTTTGGAACTAATTTCTCATTTACCCGGAAACAGATTTGAGAAAGTAAATATACCACGTTCATCTCTTTACGGAGAGAAACGCGCTCGTCTAGAGATCCGTAAAAAATTCTTAGCGGAATCTATTTCAAATCTCATCTAAAGTTTATGCTTTTAATGCCTCTGTTTCCAACAAATCTTGCTTTAACAGACTGCAAATCACAAATTTGGCTTTAACAGACTGCAAATCACAAATCTGACTCCGATGATGGCCACCGTTGGTTTAACAGACTTGCAAATTTGACTTCGACGATTCCAGATTCCAACGACGCAGTGGCGAACACTCCGAGGACAACGCAACAACGAACACTCTATGGGCGACAGTTGATGATGAATCTGAGGACGACAGTTAATGACGAAAGGATCTTGTAGATTCTGATGACAAATGGGTTTTGCAAATTTGGGCGACGAGATTGGTGATGGGTTTAGGACAGTGATAATTGTGGTGGCAACAACAATTGGTGATGGGCTTAGGACAGTGATGATTGTGGTGACAACAGCAATTGGTGATGGGTTGGGATTGGGATTTGTGTGGGTGACTTTGGGGTTAATTTGCGGTGGTGATTGGTGATGGGTTAGGATTGGGACAGTGGTGGTTTGTGTTGATGTGTGATTATACAATGATGGGGATGAAAATGGAGATCGAAGATTTCTTGTCAATGGGTCAAAAGATTATTTCTGAGATCAATAGTTCTAGGAGCTTGGTCGAGAGGTCTGTAATGGTCTAGTAGTGGTTAAGATCGAACCTTTGTCGTGAGGTCTGTGATAATGGTGGTTGAGATTCAATGGTTCGAGCACCGCGACGCCCATAGCCACCACTCTTCTTGTCCTCTCTGTTTCAGTGCTTTGACCCGCAGATTCCCTCCAAATAATGGTCGCCGACTACTACGCCGACCTTTTTGCCTACTGTTTTTCCGACTAAGTCGTCGGTGGCGGCTCCCGCTCCCGTCGTGGTGCTACTGACCTCAGCATCAACGACCTCACCGATTGTGGTGAGGGGTGTAGGAAAGAAAAATGGCATAATAGGGCTAGGAAAGGGAAAATTAGAGTTTTTAAATTTACTTTGTGTCAATTTTGACTAAAAAGTGGTTAGAGGGGCTTATTTGAACCCTTTTTTTTTTCTTTTAATTTTATTTACTGAAATGTATATTTTAAAAAATGAAGGACTATTTGTGCACAAAATCTAAATTACAGGGGGTTTTCTGCACTTAACCTTTTATTATTATTATTATTAATTATTTATCGTCGACGACGATGATAGTGTCGAAATTCTTAGAGCAATAAGCTATCATTGGGCACATGCAGTCCCCTTCACTTGTATGTCGTTTTAAGTATTTTAAATTCGTCTAATTTTTTTTTCCTTCTAAATTAAGCAAACGCACAAGTCCATGCCTCCATTGAGGTTCAAACACCTGACCTCACATTTGAGGAAAAGGGCTTAAACCAGTTAAGCTATTTCCCATTTGGTAAAATTTAACTTACAATAATGTAGGCCACGTTAAGTAAATCTAAGTTTTTTTAATTCTTAATATGGATAAAATAAAAAATAAAAATCTTAGTTCTATTTCCTGAAAAAGAAAAAAAATCAACATACAAATCTGCATTATGATATACTATAAATTTTGAAATGTGCGGTTACCATAAAAATAAGATTTGGATTGGTAGATTATTTAAGTGGTCCAAAACAGTCATTGGATAAGTGTCATAGTCGGTACCAAATTCTGTCAAGAAAATCGTTAGTAAATGTTAGAGATAAACATAACCTTCTAACCTTTCTTTTTACAGCATTACTATGGTAATCGCTAATTAGTACAAAATTTTATTATATTTTGTAAATTTTGTTTGGCATAGGTGACTAGGCAATTCATATTCATACTCACTGTTCATATGATGCAATCACAAATGCGTAAATATCTATATTTACAAAATTTAAAAAGTAATAAATAAGGAAAATAATATTTTTTTTAAAAATAAATTACATTTGTGATTAGACTACATCAGACCGAGCTAGCCCATACTAGATAAGCCGGACATGTTATGTTATTAGTATGCGATGAACATGTACCATTTAATCAAAATTTAACCAACTAAAATGTATTGCATCCCAAGTACTCCCGAATAAACCAATTAATTATCAAGATTCATATAGCAAGGGCATTGCAAGTATCATGTTATCTGAATGGTTAAGTTGTTTTCCGTGTTCGACCCTTACAACCCCACTCATCCTTTCTAATCCCTAACCACATTCTTATTGTCATGAAAAAAAAAAGAACAAAAAAAAAAAATAGCGAGGGCGTGCTTAACACTCTCCATCAGGCGCGTGACCATACCATCCCATCTCAAGGCAAAGTCCAGCTACGACACGAATTAGAAGGTTATTCTGTCTGTTCAAGGAATGCGCGCATTACGCACACCTTCTTTTTACGGTGAGTTGAGCAAAACACCAAATTACAAAATTCCCATAATACCCTCTACCTATGTATATTATTTTTACTATAATTATTTTCTCACACAATCTATAGAATTACAAATTCAAATTCCAAGCCCTGAAGGAGGATAGAGAGATCCAAACAACAAACTGACAGTTTATCGGATCAAAGTCTTCCCTCAATTTCGATTAAAGGTCAGTATTTTGGTTTCTAGGGTTTGAATTTGTGGGATTTCAATGCTGAATGATTTATTTTGAGTGTTTGTCAATCAAATAAAATGTCAGAATTTGCATAAGCAGAGTTTAATGAAATTTTCATACCAAAGTGAATATATTTCAATTTTTGTTACATATATTGGGAATTTTATGTATATTTGTTATATGTATATGTCAATCAAATAAAATGTCAGAATTTGCATAAGCAGAGTTTAATGAAATTTTCATACCAAAGTGAATATATTTCAATTTTTGTTACATATATTGGGAATTTTATGTATATTTGTTAATTTTTTTTTTTTTTTTTAAAAAAACTAAATTCACTGAACAGGACAACAAGCAGAGTTTAATGAAATTTTCATACCAAAGTGAATATATTTCAATTTTTGTAACATATATTGGGAATTTTATATATATAACAAATATACATAAAATTCCCAATATATGTAACAAAAATTGAAATATATTCACTTTGGTATGAAAATTTCATTAAACTCTGCTTGTTGTCCTGTTCAGTGAATTTAGTTTTTTTTAAAAAAAAAAAAAAAAATTAATTTAATTGGTTTTATTTAGTTTTTAAAATATTATTCATTTAAGTTGATTAGTTTTGGGTTTTAGGAAAGATTTTGATTGCTGTTTGGTTTAAGTATAATATAATTACTAATATCTGTTAATTTTTTTGGGTGTTTATATAACAAATATACATAAAATTCCCAATATATGTAACAAAAATTGAAATATATTCACTTTGGTATGAAAATTTCATTAAACTCTGCTTATTGTCCTGTTCAGTGAATTTAGTTTTTTTTTTTTTAAAAAAAAAAATTAATTTAATTGGTTTTATTTAGTTTTTAAAATATTATTCATTTAAGTTGATTAGTTTTGGGTTTTAGGAAAGATTTTGATTGCTGTTTGGTTTAAGTATAATATTATTACTAATATCTGTTAATTTTTTTGGGGTGTTTTATTTTTTATTTTTTATTTTTGGGTTTGAAGAGGGGAAGGGGTAGTTTCTTGCTAATCATCCGGAAATATCTGATGTTTAATAAATCTTAGATTAGATCCTACAAATTTTTTTTATTATTTTTTTATTTTTTTAAAAAAAGGTATATGACACATAGCCTTGTGCATAGAAATATTTGTAGAAGCTTACACTTAATCTAAGGTTCTGTTACTGATTTGGATTTCGTCATTGTTTTGAAGTCATGTCATGCCAGATGATGTCTTGAAAAAAATAAAAAAATAAAATAGAGAACCTTTATCATGAACATTTTTTTTTTCACAGATGTTTAAATAGTATATTACAGGAAACTTGTGCTGTTCATCATTCATAATCGAGTCCGTAAATCTCAATTTCAGTGATGATTGGTTTAAGAAATTTTCTTTTGTGTTGGTTGTTTGTTTTTGTATTTATCAATTTTCTTATGGAATGAATGGGATTTGTTATTTAATGGTACAAATTTTAATATTCTTGGTTATGACAGGTTTTGGGTGATTGGATTTGTGTTACCAGTTTACCATATTCGTCATGAGGTTCAAGAGAGGGAGTAAAGTGGAGGTTATGGGCAATAAGGAGGTGTCCTTTTCATGGCGTTCTGCTGAAATTATTTCTGGCAATGGGCATACTTACAGTGTAAGGTATGATAGTGAGATGGCTGTGGAGAGAGTGTCTAGGAAGGCTATCAGGCCTTGTCCTCCTCCCATCGAAGGTGTTGAGAGCTTGGTGGCTGGTGATGTTGTAGAGGTGTTTGATGACATTTCGTGGGAATTTGCTACAGTCTTGAAGGTTTTGGGTGTGGATTACTATCTGGTGCGGCTACTTGGATTTTCTCAGGAATTGAGAGTTCACAAATCCAACATCAGGGTGAGGCAATCTTGGGAAGATGACAAATGGGTTGTGATCGGGAAGGTAGTCCTTTTATCTGTGTTTGTTCCAGTAATCCTTCCATTCTGCTTTTCTTCTTCTTTATGGTTGTCAAACTGCACTATTGTATGAAGGGCCTGGCATTGTTTTACTTAGTACATTCTTAACTGCTTTGCGTTGTGGCTAACACATTTGCAACATGTTTCTTAATTATAATTTTTTTCACTAAGGAAAGTGTTTCTTAGTTCTTATCTGATTACTACTAGTTCGTTTGATCAGATTTCCCACTTTAACATAGTGGTTCTTTGTTGGAAAATAATTATATGTTATATCACTCCTTGACAAAAACGTTGCTATATTTGGGCAACAATTTGTTTGCCAAATTTGTATTTGACTTTCCGTGTAATTCCTTTATTATAAAATACTTGCAGAGCTAGAGATTTCTATTCTCTAGCTATAAGTCTGTTCAATTCACCTATAAATAGAGGTGGTTATTGTAAACAAAATTATGAGAGAATGTGATGAAAGAGATGTAGTCCTCTGGGCTCTTTGTGTCGTGGATGTAACCTCTAGTGGTTGAACCACGTTATTTTCTTGTGTTCTCTATGTTTTAATTTCTCTCTTCAACTTTTAATTTTCTTTCAACATGGTATCAGAGCAGGTTGCTATATACTTGTCTTGGATCTTTGGGTCTTGGATCTTCGGATCAACTTGTCTCGGATCTTGGATCTCCGGATCAACTCGTCTTGGATATTTGGATCAACTTGTCTTGTCTTAGATTTTCGGATCTTTGGGTCTTAGATTTTAAGATCAACTCGTCTTGGATCTCCGGATCAACTCGTCTCGGATATTCGGATAAACTCGTCTCGTCTCCGATTTTCGGATAAACTCGTCTCGTCTCCGATTTTCGGATAAACTCGTCTCGGATCAGATTTTCGAATCAACTCGTCTCGGATCAGATTTTCGGATCAATTTGTCTCGGATCTCCAGATCAACTCATTTAAGATTTGCTCGTCTTAGACTCTCGACAACTTCATATTTTGTTTCAAGTTGAACAAAATTAAGAGAGAATGTAAAGAAAGAGATGTAGCCCTCTGGGCTCATTGTGTCGTGAATGTAAGCCCTGGTGGCCGAACCACATTATATTCTGTGTTCTTCATGTTCTAATTTCTCTCTTCAACTTTTATTTTTCTTTCAACATTCTTGAAATGGTTCCTTTAGATGCATGTGTTAATGGTTTTGATGTCATCCTTGAAAAGAGTTTAGCATTTTCAATTTATAGTTTTTTTCAGTTATTTACATATATTAGGCCTTTTGGACTTCAAAAAAGTGCACTATACTCCTAGTACTTGTGTTTGTGCATTTTTTATATTCAAATGCTTGAAATTATTGGTTCTTATTTACTATACTGGCCTTTGCATTGTCTGATCATATGTTGGCTGCCTTTCTACAGGGTTCTGGAAGAGGTGGAGATTTGAAATCTAAGAAACTATTAACTTCAAATTTTCTTGAGAAGGCGAGTTTCCAAGTGCCACAAGCCAATAGCAAGATTAAACTGCAAGCAGGAGATGATTATTCTGCCGTTCAGAACAATGTTGGGTTGGAGGAGACTCATGTAACCTCTTCTAGGACGCTGAAGAGAGCATCCCCTTATTGCTCGTCTCTTATTGAAGCTTATACAGGGAATGGTCAGAAAGTAAGAGCAATTGAGAAAGAGGGTAGGCGTGAACGAGAATTTCCGGCCCCATTATTGGAAAAGGTAGATGCTGTTGCTTACCCACGAGAAAATCTGGGTGAAAAAAACATGCATGCTTCCTTTAACAATAGATCAAATGGATATTATGAAATGGAGAGGCCAAAATTAAATGGTGATGTCAGCTGTTCCCTTGCAAGAAGTCTAGAACCTAATGATTCTGACAGTATTGTGTGCTCTGTTGGTAGTTGTAGTGTTACTAGTGAGAGTCCAAATAAGTGTCCTAGTCAATTTGTATCAGTTCGTTGTCAAAATACAGATAATCTATGTAGTGATGCAGAATCTTCTTATGGCTCAAGAGATGAGGAAGAAAGTTGCTCCCTTCCTCCAGAGGAGGATGTGGCAGCAAGTATCCATAGGTTAGAGTTGCATGCTTATTGCTGCACTCTGGAGGCATTGTATGCTTGTGGTCCCTTAAGTTGGGAACAAGAAGCATTGTTGACAAATCTCCGGATTATGCTCCATATATCAAATGAAGAACATTTGATGGAGCTGAAGAATTTAATTTCTTCTGGAACTGGTATTTATATTAGTTAACAGTTAATGGAGCGATTTCTCTTTTCTTTTTAATTTTATTTTTATGGTAGGATTTTGTTTTGTCTTTAGTGTCCACACAACATTGTAAGAAGCAGAATAATATTTTACTTTTGATAGCTTCTGTCTCAGTTATCTAAATGTCTAAGTTATCTAAACAGAAACTGTCTAGACGGCCCTCCTTTTTTTGTAACTCGTGAACTATGTATCAAAATTCTTATGAGGAAATGGATGTAACCAGTGCCATCCTGGTTTTGTTTAGTCTTCTTCGGCTCATAATATGTAATAAATTTGTAATAAAGATCTTGAATATATTTTCAGTTATTATATAGGCTTGTGATCCAAAAGTACCATGTGTAATTGGCAAATAACCAAAATACAGTCTCCATTTTCCAAATTGCATCTTTGCAGGTGTTGTATCTGAGAAATACATGAGAAAGGATTTATATTTTCATTTGGTTTCATATATCTGCCATTAACTTCTGTTGTCATTGGAAATTTTGTATGCTTTTGTTTTTGATGATTGTTTAGAAGGGGGTTGTGGTCTAGTTCTTCAACTCCCACTCCGTGTGTATTTGTGCATGCATCAAATTCAGCTGGTCATGTTTAATAAAAAACATTTAAGCTTTCCAATTAGCGATTAGCATGTGTGCATTGAATTTGAACTTTGGATATTAATGATGTTATAAGATGTCCAAAGCTGATGGGAAGTGTGTGAATTGCTTTACTCTTTGTAATCCTTTTCATTACATTCTATTGGAGCCATGGCAATAGTTGATGTGAATAACATGTTGAAGAGTATGCAGTTCTTTCATGTTTTTTGGTTTTGATATAAATATAATTCTGGTTCAAATTTACAATAGCTTTGATTTCCACACGGTTTGGCAGCGCTTAAAGTGCCCTTTTGAGGATTTTATTGATGAATCCCCTGCATTTTCCAGGGCCAGAGTTGGAGGCATGCATCTCTTGCTTCCAAAGGTCTAAAGATGATGCCCGCTTGTGCCACATTTCTATTGGCCTAAACAATGGGACATATCTGCATCCACTTTCGTACAAATGAGACAATTCCTGGCCTGCCATGGTATCATTGTTTAATATGGCTTATTGATGCATCTCATTTCAGAACAGCTTTGAAACTGTGTACATATGTTCTGCTGAAGGAAGTAAAATGAGAATTTCAAAAAAGCTGCCATGAATGTCCTAATATGGAAGGTTTTCTTGTCAAACTCTCAGTTCATATATACAATATTAAACTGTTTGCATACTGTTCTATGTTTTACTCCATTTATATTGCAGTAGTTCACTGGTGCACAAAGTTATCTGGTTTTCAATTGCATGAAATAATTCCATTCTTTAATGTGGTTTTATTTCATTAAGTTGCTCTTCTGGGAAACACTTGAGGTAGGGTGATTCTAGTCCTGAGTTGTATTTAATATATGAGGTCCTTTCAGAAGCTTCAGGATGCTTTAGTGACTGCATTATCACATGAAGGTGATAATGCTTATTATTAGTCAGTCAATTTGCACATATGGTGCATGTAAATATAAAAATATTATAAATACAAATATGCTAATAAATTAAAAAAACTTTAATTCTTCGGTGAAATTTTAATATGTAAGCTTTACAACTATATGACTTAATATCCTAAAATAGTTGTGTATGTTCTGCTGGTAGTTGTAGCCTTATTAGGAGTCCAAATAAGATTGTGGCATGCTTGAAAGGAGAGGAAAATATAAGGCCTTAGCTCTTATTCTTTTTCTCACTTGTAGTTAGACCATGAGTTTGTGGACATCTTTTCCTCCTTTCTGTTTTTCAGAGAGATTAAGTTGTTTTCTCTAGCAAATGTAGTTGGACTCTCATGTCGATCCGAATGAATCATTCTTTGCACGGAGGTAAATCTTTGCCTGCTAGGGAAGAGGATAGCAAGTTAAAATTTTTGTCTCGGTGGGACGTGTATTTTTATTACTATGAAGGTTAACACTTGTAGGCTTTTCAAACTTGACCTTTTATTTCCCTACAACGTCCCTTTCTTGGTTTTTGGAATTTAGAAGGATATTGCTTTGAAGATTTGCCATTCCTGTGGAAATCTGGAGCATTTGGCACGAATGGGACCTTGAATTGTCTGTCGAGGCCTGTGCTTCTTATCAGGAAACCTCCCTTTCCCTTCAAAGTTGAGTTTAAGCTTCATTGGGGAACGCTAGGGATGGGTGCTTATCCAAGGGACACACAAATATTATTCAATAGTACCTATCTAGACCAACAAAAGCCTATTTGTGGGCTTCATAAATTTGGAACACATAATGCTATTCAGAATACATCCTAACCATATGGTACCATAAAAGCCTAGATTTTATTTTAAAACCATTTAAAACTGCTACAAATTAAAAATGCAGCATATTATTTCTAAGGAGTTCTAATAGAAGTGATTGCGTATATCAATTCTAGGTCTTGTATCAATCCCAGAGAAAATGCATTCTTGATGGATCTTGGCATGTGACCTGGCTCTTGCAAGAATTTTTTAAACTTGTGTCTGGCAAATGAACCTTGCTGATTTTTTATAACTGGAAATGATGACAAAGAAAGAGAAGAGATGAGAGGGTGGCGGTGGAGGTGGGAAGTAGAAAGAACATAGGAGAGATCACCATTCGCGCATTATGTCTTCCAAGCTTTTCATTCATGAGAAAAGAAGAGATGATAACTGAGGGAGAATGAAAGTGACTTCAATGCCTCTCAAAATATCCATAGAAGAGAGATTGAATTAGAGAAGGGTAAGAAAGACTAGACAGGAAAGAAAGAAAGCAGAGAGAGAGAGAGAATGCAATGCTCTTTCAATTTTCTTCAGTTCTTCTTGAGGATTAATCCCCTTTAAAACCAGTAAATCTTATCCCCCACCTCCCAAAAAAAAAAAAAAAAAAACCCTAAAATTGTAAATATAAAATCCAGATTTTATTTTAAAACTCAGTAAAACTCCTAAAATATTAACAATCAGAACTACTACAAATGTGGTTCATTTGATTTTTCATTTTACTAAGTTATAGGGGGTCCTTGTCATACAAGCTTTGTGAAATTTGAGAGACCATGTAACAAATTTTTTTTTTCAAAACCATATTTAATAAATTGGCATGATATATGTAAAATTCTTGACTTCTTTAGGCGTCTAAACTACCATTTATATAAACCTATATCCAAAGTTGCAGCTTTTGATACACAGAATGTTAAAAAATAGTTGATTACTCTGGGATGTCATATTGTCCAATGAGATACCACACCAGTTATTCCTTTCCTCTATTGACTTGGAGAAATTGGATGCAACAGGAGGAAAAGGTTCAGTTTTTTGGCAGAACCATAGAATTGAAGCAATGCAGAGTATCATTATTAGACCAAAATGTTCTGATATCCTGTGATGATCCCTTTGGCAGGCGCATGGATTTTTATTTTGAGTTCATTTATTATGAAGGATTGTTTTCCTGCGATTTTGGACATCTATTCTAAACAATCTTCACACTATTTGTGATGTTGTGGCCCGAATCTGGTTCCGGGTCGCATTGACGACCCATTTTAGGCCTGACGACCCGTCAATTGAGCTTTGTGTGGGTCCTGGACCCTATTTAGTACTCTCTTGTAGCCCGATATATAAGGAAGTTTAGGGTTTGGAGTGGGACATTGAGAGACATTGGAAATCGCAGAAAAGAAAGTGAGAGTGAGAGCTAGGGTTTGGGAGCTGAAACTTGTAATCTCCATATTTTCTCATGGTGAATTTGTTCACTGGATCTTCACCGTGGACAAAGGTTTTGCCGAACCACGCTAAATCTTTGTGTTCTTTGTGTGTGGTTTGTTTATTTTCTGTCATGTTTCTTGGGTTCACTGTGTTTGTCGTAACCCTATTATGAAGGATTGTCAATTTTCTTTTGCTTGTTAAATTAACTTTTTTGAGGTTTATTCATAATGCTTCTGAATTTAGTTAATAGTTTTATGAAGTTGTGCTTCGTCCTCATGACTTAGTTAACATAAAAACGAGAATAAGATGGAAGCAAATATATGAAGGAAATATTGCAACTATACTCCTGTATGAACTTCCTTAGTTGTGTGACAAAAGTTAAGGAGCTTGTTACCAGTCACAGTCATATCCTGATAACAAATCATTTGCAATGTTGAAACATTTTTTCATGTCGAAGGGCAGAATACTGATACCATGATCACTGTAACTTACGAAGCCTTATCCCAATTGTGTGTTGGGAAACACTTGGAGAAAAATCTCTTTGCCTTACCTAGGGAAAAAAAAAGGGTTCTCTTTGCAATTCCAGCTTGTTAGAAGCCGTGATCTCACTCACATTACTGGATTTGTGATTTTTTTTATTAATTCGTTTATGTCATTGTCGTCCTTTTATTTGGTGTTGTACCCGTATTATATTACTTTAAGAACAGATTTATTTGGTGTCATTTCCTTTTATTAGATCAAGTTCTAATTCAGAAACAATTAAACTATTTGCTCTCTTTTTTCCCCACAACTTGGTTTTAACCATTATAGCAGGGACTTGGAAACTACACAAGATATAAATTCATACGTGTTGATGTGGCAAGGACACAACAATGTTCTCATATATTTTTACACATACACTTATATGGTCAATAGATTAAATTTTAATTTATTTAAACATTTTTGACCAAATTTATAATTTTATAGGGAAATGCTTATTTTTTTCCTAAATATATATATATATTATGCTACATGTTTGACCTGTGGCAGCTATATGTACAATTCTACTCAATAAATTTCTTTCTGGACTATTTTGGTGTGGGGGCAGGATGTACCTTTTCAACTTTCTAAAGTATTCCCAACATTTTTTTTTCTGAGTGTGAGCATCTGGTTTGACGCTGACGTGATTTTTCTGAGGAAGTTTCTAATCTAAATAGGTTTTAAATGCACTACTTATAGGATATTTTGATTTTTTCTGGAGTCAGTTTGAAGCTTGTCTTGATAAAATCTATATAAATGTGAATTTATTGAATTTCCATTACAATAAGAAAACGTGCATTATACTTGATTTTACTTTGCACATCAGTCAGTCTACCTACCAAAACTTCGTAAGTTATGTCAATTATGATTGGAATGATTGATGATTCAATAATTCAAAACTACATACTATCTGGCATTCCCAATAGTGGTTTCTTTTCCTCTTGTATGTTTTTAAATTGAGGATTTAATCAAGCGGATATTTGGAATAATATAGGGACACGTGAGAAGGAGTTTAAAGGAGAAT